TAAACTAAGTTTAAAAGTGTATAAATTTTTAATGACTTACGATACCAATTAACTATTTTAAAATCTGGCAACTAATTCCGGTGGGCCAGTCCGCCCCTGCCAAATAGAGAACTATTCATTTGAATAGTTATCTATTTGGCAGAATAGCCACTATTAAAATGACAGAAAATTATCGCCTTGCCATTAACAGCGGCTCCCACTATTTGTTCACTAAATAACTGATGAGCAAAATTCCAATGAACCGTTAAAAAATGCCTATTTAGGTTGATTCAAATCCACTAAAACATTGTTTGCTTATTTGAATAACCTTTTACTAAAATAAACAGCCCATCTCCAAGTTATTTAACGCGATATAAGGTTTTATGTTAAATCTTAATTCTCAGGTGATACTTAACAACTTGTTGTTTTTACTACATATGTATATTTTTTCCAATTATTCTTATATATTTCTTATATAAGCTCAGGGATTCGGTAGAACACTTTTTACAAAAAAAATAGTGCATAAGTAAAATATAAAACAATAGTGCATAAGTAAAATATCAAATAGTAAAATATAAAATATATTTAACTTATACACTATTAATTTTTTTTTTAATAGCATTCTACCAAATCCCTGAGCTGTTTATACATATTTGAACGTTCTATATTGCAAGTTTGCTCATGGCTGATCTTAACAGGTTTTTAATAACTTTTAATCTTGAAAATAATAATTCACGATAAACTTGAGTGCATGCTAGCGTCGATATTCACGATAAACTTGAGTGCATGCTAGCGTCGATATTCACGATAAACTTGAGTGCATGCTAGTTAATATTTTTGTATTATTAAATATCATGTATTTTTATGCAGTGCCGAATTTGTGTCTATGACGCCCTTAGACATATGAATAGTCGCCTCCCTAAAATTCATAACGAAAGTAAAAACAATACATATCTACAGTAAAAACTGACTATCAGTTGTTTTTGAAAGTTTATTAATATAATAAAAAGCAAGAAAGTTTTCATTTTTTTGTCAGCAAAGTTGTCAACTTTATGAGTATAATCAATATTTAAGTTAAATCACTTTTTTGTTTATAATATTGAATCGCTGTTCTTTTACAGTAGATCTTAAATTTCAATTTTTTCAGCAAGAAAAAGCTTTGACGACTCATTTGACTATAAATATTTTGTGCTTACCCAGCGGGCGTTTTGACGTCCTAAGGACGTCCGTAAGACGTATTAAGTCTCGTCCGTAAGACGTCCTTAGTTGGTCTTAAAAGAAAGACTTGAGGACGTCTATTCCAGATGTCTTTTCAAGAGTCCTAGAGACGTTTTTTGCAGACGTTCTAGAGACGTCTTTGACTGGTTTCATATGAAAGACTTAAGGATGTCTTATTCAGACGTCCTAGAGACGTTTGAATTTTACTAAGACATTCTTTTACCAAGAATTTTACCAAGACATTCTTTATATAAAAATGCAATGATTTACAACACACACCTTAGATTTGCCTTAATCTAGGCAAGGGAAGTTATAAAAAGAAATCAATGTAAATAAAGTGTAATTTGATATATTTAAAATAAATTAACAACTTTACAAAAAATTAGAATAATTTTTCAAATATAGTTACATTTTCCAAATTAAAAACTAATAGGTACTGTAGAATATAATCGATAGTGCATTAAAAATAGAAGAAAATTGCTTAAAAATGGAAAAAAATAAAAAAATACAACAGTTAATTAAGCCATCATTGATCAAAATCCATATTAGTGGATGTTCTTTTTGTTCGGTCAGAAGAATGCCTAATTACTCTCCAAATAAGTTGGATGGCATCCATATTGGTTAAGTTTTTATTTGACTTAAAAGCAGCTTCTAATAAAAATAACAACACATGTTTCAATAAGATCATAAAATAAAAGATACATGTCATGTATACATACACTTGAATGCATGTCATGTTCAATAGCCAAAGAAATTAAAATTTTTTTTTTTTTTTAAATTAAAACATCATTTTTAATTTTTAGTTAATCAAACACATTAATAAGCTAATAAAAATACCAGTGACAGCATTACATAGACTTGTCAACTCTTTAAACTTTTTTTTCTTCTTTAGACAATTCATGCTGTATTTTGACAAAATAGTGTCTGTTGGCAATCTGCATATTTAAAAAAGAACATGAATGCTGTACTGTCAACCATAAATGTTAAAATTCAAACTTTTGCTTATTACTTACAAGAACAAAATATTTTTAATTGTATCAGCTAGATTTTTACCGCCAATTAATGATAACTGTTTTACCTAAAAAGAAACAATGTATAAGAAACATTGAAAATGTTTATGACAATTGAAAGAAATATTGTGATAATATATAACATAAACTATAAAGATGAAACTCATGTATACAAAAGTGATGTATTGGATATCTCCATTTGCGATTTTTTTTTTCAAAACATTAAGTTTATCTGAACTTTTACATTGTTTAAAACCTTCTTTTGGATTATTAGAGAACAGTGCAGTTTTATC